CTAGATTGTAGGCGGTTAACAGGGTACCACATCAGATACAGGAGAAAAGAAACGCTTTACAGTCGCAGATATATGTGCACCAAAATTGAATACAGAACTGTTGTGGACCGTACTGTCTTCAAAAAATAATTATACAGACTTGTGGTTCTTACTCCGTCAGAACTTGAAAGATGGTCAGGGTGTCAACAGGTCATTTTTTAACATCTTGTTTATATTTCGATGGACTTGCGCAGTATTCAGTACGAAATCCATGTGGCATCCCAGCGTATTAGAGTATGTGGTGAGCTGCATCAGTGTTCATCTCATTCCGTTGCCATTTATAAAGCTGGTAGCCTTTTGCGTCAGGAGATGTATAGTGACCGATCTTCCGAACCGTAATTATAATCAAAGGTTGGTGCAACAGTTTAGGTTCGGGTGAACTGCAGCATTTATGAAATTAAAAGTCCCCATAAATTTTCGAAGCATGTCGACCTCACGTACATGAACTTGGTGAAGTCATTCTCCTTCGTTTACCGACTCATTTGCTCTCATCCTCTACGTTGTTCAAGTTAACCAAGAAAGGGAAGTGCTTTACCCGGCCCCCACCCCAGGATAGGTGATATTCGAATGTGACACACGTCCGCAGCAACACAAAAAGAAACATACTATAAAAACCCCCCAGAAAAGCCTGTTAATAATGAACAAACACGGTACCCTCAGCGAAAATTGGTTGGCTAATCCTCGAACGAGTTTGTTGGTGCTTGGCGAAAATCGCGTTTGATGAGGGATAATTCCCGTACGGTAGGTTCATGTTTAGGCTTATATGGACCTGTCGTTCATTTTAGTCAATGTATTTTTACGAAAAACAAATAATGCGCTATGTAAGAGGTGACTTGTGCTGGAAAGTGAGCAGATGTTAGTTTAGGAATTCGAAGGCGGGAGATGGCATAACACAGTAATTTGGGCCGCCAGTTTCCCTTGTTAAAGAGGGCTCACCGATGCGACAGTGTGCATTGTAATAATAGTTTCCTACGCCTTCTCCCCACTGGACACTGGTCAAACTAGACTGTAAACATAAAGTGCAATATTCCAGTAGGTACATTTCTATTTTGGTAATCTTATACATATAAACGAGAAGTGTAATGGCTGAATTGTGTTCCTACCCAGCTAACAAGAAAATACCTAGAGAGCGAATGATATGTGCGTCTTCTGGAGTATTCACCATGAGTTCAGGCTGCGTAGGCTGAGTGTGGATTGAACCACTATTGACTCTGTAGCAAATTGATTAATGGAACCAAATTCGCAGCAAGAGCAACTTTGTTGTTTAAAGCAGAACTTTCAGAAGTTGGATCAGAAGAGGGAAGTTGGTACCTCCAACAGAGAAACCTCCAGCAATGGGGACCAATTCTCATCGCCTAAACCAATTTGTATGTGACCGTGGAGCCAGGTACATAGGCAGAACTGATAGGACTTTACCCACCCCCTAATCCGATAAAATCTTTGCTGAGATGGGCTAGGCATGAAATTATTAACATCCCCTGCCCCTTCAGAATCCGTGCTCGCACGTCACCGGAAGGAGTTCGGCTGAGCATTCCAATGGTGTTCAGCCACAGTATAGCGAACCAAAATAGATGCTATTGCGCCGAAAGTCATTAGAATAGTGGCACTAAGCGAACTGCACGGTAAGGAGTCATAAATGAAACGAACCGGCCTCCTGATACGAGTTTGCTTAGAGATGGTAGATTAATGTGTGTTAGCAAGAAATACCCAAGCGGCGCTTGACAATGCTTTGAACAAGACTGCATCAGGTAATTTGTAAGAAGACGTTCGCAGATACATGTAAAGGTTGGAGATCGGACAGAATGAGTATAGTGAACGCTAATTGCCAACATAACCAGCGTTTAGACTTCATTAGTTTCTAACAGTAGTAATTCTTCATGCTCACTTCTTGCTGAAGTTATCACAGTGAGCGCCCAAAAATAATTGCTCTAGCCAACGACTGTTATGGGTGTGGTGATTGAACTTCATTCCGCTTCAAATTTATCTTCAACACCCGCTGTCAGGTGTATGTATTCATATTGATTATTGTTAGTGCTGTTGAGAAGACAGTACGAAATATTCATGCATCTGTAAGCCAACTGCAAATTCCTCGAAGCAGCTTCCTCCACACACCCGGAAAAGTACCAGACGGCCGATTCGACTTGGTGGGTCTCGTCAGTAGTGCGCATCCAACGGCTCCATCAGGATTCGAATCCATGACCATCAGCGGCTTGAACCGCTAGCCAGCAGTTTATTGCGCTGAGTCATGAGTGACAGCGGTGGACCGTAATACTTGCCAAGCGTGTTTCATCCTCAACAGTAATGCTAATTACTAGTAGTAGCTATGTACGACGTAGCATTTAGAAAACGCTACGACGGACCTTTTGATGTACTCATGATGTATGTAGTGTATTTCATTGAGAGTATTTAATTGGGATTTCGTCATAGCAACTATGCACGACATAAATGTTGTCAGTGGAAGTCTTGTCTCTCGGGGGGAGGGAAACCCAATCTACAGTGACGTTCGTAACTGTCATGACGTTTGAGGGTAAGATGTACTACATTGCAGTTACCAAGTACATCATGACGATCCTCCGGTGTCCCCCATGTCCCCTGGCATAAACCGCTGACTGGCGGTGCAAGCCGCCGGTGGTCATGGGTTCGGATCCACTTGTGGCGCTCGATGCGCACTACTGACGAGATCAAGCAGGTCGAATCGGTGGTCTAGTAATTTTCCGGACCTACAAATAGCAATCTGATTTGGAGGGCTCTGCGATGGACTCCAAATTAATGGCAATCGCACTGGGACTGTTGTTTCCCGAGTATAGAGGTTTCGGCATTGCTCATTCCCAACACGAACACCCGACAACAGGCTTCAAGTAAAGATAACCGAAGCTAATAATGGAATCCAGCAAGTTGTGGTTAATCGTATACGTCTTAATTACGAGGTCAATGAACTCCACAAACAACACTTTTTAGAGAGGCCATAGGTTGACTGTTAGGTCCTCTCTTGATGAAACGGAAACAATTAATTCCCTTTAGAATGAGATCCAGCTTCTGATCTCAAACTGACCATGAATCTTATTGTGTGAATTCGCACTTTGGATAAGATCCCAACGATTGGAAGAATCTATGTTTATTTCAAATAAAATCCTAGTCCAAACGGAGATTACTTCTCGCATCACACGACCACACATGATACCCCAAACCTTCATAGCGCCTTCCTAACTGCTTTAACGTGCTTTGCTCTTGAATTTCGGTGACCATATAGTAAATACACCAATGTGGGAAAAATACTATTCGACTGCATCCACAAAGACCAAAGTTGAGCCTGGTAATGGGGTGTCCTGCTGGTTGGTAGCAAGCGGAACCGAATATGACACTATTGAATTAAATCTTCACGTCATCCTCCTGTCGTAAATAACCGGAGAAATGGTATGGCTTTCTGAAGGCTCTAACAAAATGGTGAACAATCGCTGTTAACATAAATTAAGTCAATGTATGCATTTATCAGTCTGCAAGGTTGGAAGGAACCTAGTGCAGAACTGGATTCAGACAGCAGAGAAAAAAGAACTTTTCATACGACTATTCTTCAAGGGAGACGCCACTGCTGTTAAGTCAACTTTTCCAGCAGCCAAGCTTAGGTGTACCTTTTTCACGGAGCCAATCATCCGTATTTACAACAAAGACAAGTTACCGACGCTGACCGCTTCTATGGTAATTTCTCAGTTCGAGTGCGCTTGTGGAGCTGCTTACATCGGTCGAACGGCGCGGCAACTGTCGAAACGCATTAAGGAGCACCTACCACACTGGTTGCGTCGAGGCGGTGCTGGAATTATAACTAGCTAAGTTATGGCTCATCTTGTTGATAGTGGGCATGAGGTTGACCCAGTCAGTGCCTTTCGAATACCATACAGGTTCCCTCCACTCCAGTCGAAAGGCCTGCACCTCCGCACCCTTGCTACTGCCGAGGCGATCAGCATTTGGTTGTATCAACCGCTTTTGTGTGAACAAAAGAATCTGATCGAATCTGTTAAGCTACCTTGGTCAGCCAAAACGGATCCTTAGGAGAGCAACTGCAATTGTGCAACTGTACCTTTGCCCTAGTTTGCTGTTTGTTACCGGTACATGCCTTGGTCGACACGTGATCAATCTCATTTGAACTGATCGTATCTACTTGTACTTGCCCACTGCTATTTCACCCATATAATTGTACAGGTCTGAAGATGAATCACCGAAAACAATTGTTTATCTTCGGTCTTTTGTTCTCGATGTAGTATGATTGACCGCAATGGTACCACGTGTGCATATAGCGTCAGCCAGCTCCTCCCGGTTTCGACATACAATCAGATGCCGGTAAAATATCGTGAGCATTTGACAGCCGATCGTGTTAGCCATTTGCTTGAATTTAATCTTTGGGGACCTGTTAACGTGTGGTGTTTAACGGGACTACTTACGAACAGAATTTCCAATCTTCATTATAATTTGTCCAGAAATGTTACACATTTATGTACAGGTTTGCTTGAATTTCCCAGGTGGTGTATCACGCTGCTGGGAATTTTCTACAGTGCCCTTCCAAAGCAAGAGTACCAAATAAACCAGTAGCTATGCGGCCAACAAACGCAAGGACACACACACGCTCCGTCTTCGTTGATCTGCTATCTCAAATGGCACCAACACCAAAGGCGTTACAATGGGCAAGCTCTGTTTGTCATGCAGAAAGACTCGTGCATAATTCAACTCGACGCGATACGCCTCACAAACCGGATTCCGTTCTGTCACTCATTGGGATTCCACTCCGTATCTGTCAGTCACCGTGTCACGGCTACTTGGATAAACATACACACACACACATGCAACCGAAAATGGGTGTGATGATAAGCTGCTTGGTGAGGGGCGTTGGAGCCACGATACACATCACTGCGTTCCGCATGCGAAGAGGCTCTCGTATTTGTCCAACTATGGGTACCTGACACACAGACTTACCGGCGATTTTGAAACCAGACTTGAACCACACGCATATCTAAACCGGTCTCGGAGCTCAATTGTTCCCGCACGTGTCGTACTGGCTTCGGACTCTCGTTGTACGCGCGTTTCAGTGCCTCCAGCTGTTTGGCTGTGATGGTGGTTCGTGGCCGCTTGTTGGTGTTGTCCAGCTCCGCTTCTGAGCATCAGCACAGAATGAAAAAGGTGAGTGAAATGTGCAAACGAAGGGAAAGTTTCACAGATTGCTAACCGCATAATCACCGTTAATGGACACTGGAATGAAGGAACGATCAAAATAATAAACATGTTGTTATCTGCTCAGTCCTAACATATTCGGGAGAGGAGATAAGCGGTTGTTAAGGCGAAGCAAGTGGAACGGAAAACTATGAGGTCACTTTTAGATCACAGATTACTGGTCGGTTCCGATACAAACCAATCACATTGCCTGTGAATACGACAGAATTGAGTGCTTTTATAGATGTTTGTCCAATCTGCACATTATGATTAGTGATTTGACGATTTTGTCTCCTGTTGTTTTTTTCGGATTGTTATCGCAAACAAATTAATTCCGTAACTAATTGATTGAGTCGGACAATGCTAATGAGCAGCGGAGACGGCAAGCGGCCATTCAGTGCTTAAATGAGCGACTGGTTCAGTGGGTCTAACTGTACCGCGCTACATTGTGATGAGTGACTTGCCGTTTTAAGGGTAATACTGAACTTATTGGCCAATAACTATGAGGGTAGAGTTTTGGAGCTGCGCTCTACCTAATCTGCAATACACGATAGGTATTGTCTTAATTTGTACTCATCCAATAGCTTGAGGCAACAGTGGAACCCGACTTCGTTCTAGAATAATCAAATGCAACTGCTCCGAGAGACAATGTAACGTGGATATAGGCCATTCAGGTCACTGGGCCTGTTTGGAACACATAAACTTTGTCTACCTCCCTGTGCAGCTATTGCGTTTAACAACCACCGGTCTTTACCCACACTATCCGTGTATCGGCAGCAGGGATGTGATTCCGTCAGATGTGTAGTAAAAACCCCGAAGTTGATCACCTCTAACTCCCACTATAAGTTGCCCGTTTCCCCATAGCTTGGACGTTGACCTTGCGAACCCTTCGGAACCAGACTCCCGTATAGTGACCATCTATGTAAACTGTATGTCGACAATGGATTTATAACCACTATATAACATGACCATGAGCAGGTTTACTGATTAATAGTCGCCGAACGATTCTTTTGGTCGAATGAGAATGTGTCTACAACGGGATTTTGCAAAGTGTGGAATTCGCCAGACCAATAATAACTGCACTTTGTATCTCCGCAGATGTTTGACGACACAGCATGTTCGTTGTCAGTATGTGGGCTTGTCCTGCCCCTCAGTGTTTGCGCGTGTGTGTCCCCACAGATCCGTGTCCATGATCCATTTTTATGTGAGGCCTTTCCTTCCGGTCTACATACACACGGATGTGGCACGCCTACTCATTGGAAGGTTCACATACCTTAGTAGCTGTGTCCTCTCTGGTGGCCGCATTACTGAGGAAGTTACCTAGCATATCAGCAGAACTGGTGTGGTTATCCAGAAACACAACCATCTATGAAGATGGCATGATGTAAGCCAGTTAGTGAAAGGTATGTTGTATATAGCTGCGATAAGTCCATTATTATGATATGGATCAGAAGACTGGCCAGTTCGCAATGAAGGCACTAAAAATTTGACCGTGTTTGACCACCTGTGATTGGGGAGTATTGCTCACGTCTGGTGGGAAAACTGGGGTGAGTATTGTTGAAGCTCGCCAGTTGGTTTTTGGCAAGAAACTTTCTGATGTCTCTCTCGAGCGTTTGCCGAACCTTAATCGCTTAGGTTGGTTAAGCGATGTCCTCCGTATGCCCGTTGGCCGGCCTCCTCGGCGTGCTTTGTACGCCGATGCAGCTCCAACTTGGGCGAAAACTTGAGTTGGGCAGTCGATGGCATGAGATAGATGTGCGAAGAAATTGACTGAGAGACTTGGTCAGTCTGGTGCTTGTTGTCTTCTTGGATGGGGGCCCCAAGATGGTCCACAACAATGGTTGGGACTGCATCGGACATTGCACATTCATGTAGTCAATGGTGTTTAGAATTGCCGCCTCTTGCATCTACTTTTACTTTGCATTCCATTGCTCTTGATTCCATTTGCTTTACACCCTATTTGCATTAAACCACTTTTCCTGCCGTCGTTATTTATCATTATTCAGCTGACGTGGGTCGTGACAATGGGATCCGCTGTACTTCTGTACTTAGAACATTATATTTGCGGTAAATTGCATGTATGACTCCTGAGTGGAGATTTACAACAATTTAACGAGAAGGGGCCAATGCCCCGGCATAACAATCATTGGTTTTAAGTAGACTTCAAACTTTTGGGCGGAACCGCTTCCGTCGTCACCGTGTGCCTGCGTAGTTCGACACTGAATGCATGAAAAATCAGGTTGTGGGAATCGTTTTAGGAGGACTGGGAGGAAGCTCCCCTCATAAATGTATTATATACCATCAGTGATAGTCGGAGGGCGGAGAAGCAGATATCCGAGATGTCGAGTTTGGTGAAGCCGAGAGTTGTTAAATATTTCGCCGAAGCCGGATGTACAAATCCTCGATTGTTTAAGATAATTGGATAGTGGTAAATCTCGCGTGTTTCGGAGAATTGTGCGCTTATATAATTCGCGATCACTGGTGCGTTATTTCCGGAGCCATATTTGTCGACCTTGAGCCGGTGCGTACGCGCCATCCGGTCGGCGTCACAAATTCCGACATCCATGACATGCACCGATGCTCCCTTTACTGCGAGTATATCTGGCTTGATGAATGAGGTCGCTGTTGGAATTCTTGGTTCGAGAACGATGTTAACTGTTCGTTTGCGGTTTTTTGTGACTTGCTCTGCAATGACATTGTGGAGTTTACATCGTGCTTCATGGTTGATGCCACATGATGGTAGGACATGGGACAGAGTCTCGCTTTGTCCACAGTTGCCGCGACATAGTAGTTCGGATTGGGTCTCAGGCGGTCGTCCCCTTGCGCGTCTTACTTTTGTAGATAGTAACCCACCATGAAGCTGTATTGTTTGAAAGAACAGTCCAGGGAATATCCTGGTCGGATTCCGCAGCCAGTGATGTGCAGCGGGTATGGTGACCACTCCCCGGAGCGAGCACCAGTCTGCTGAGGTTAGTAGCGCGTCTTTCCATGTTTCCGCGGTTGATTCTTTATCCATCTTTATCCATCACCACATTGGAGCGCGCCAGTCGATGAATGGAGCCAGCTGCGGGATCTCGGATGGCCCAGCTAGTAATTGGGTATGCATTATTAAGATGTCGTTCTAATCGGTCCTTCCGTAACAGTGGAATATTGGCGGAAAAGCAGGGTATAGCGATACCAAAGTCCCCGACTGAGGTGTGGAAATAAGCCAGATTTGTGTCAGTGGGCAACCGGAGCCATTTTCTCACATGGGCTCGAACAAGCCTGTCCATGCGTTTTAGCGTCGGTTTGTGGACAACGTCCAAGCAGAGTTTATGAAGATGCCTTGAAAGCAGACACGTCTTCAGAAGCTCCAAGCGCTAGTAGGGTTTTAGGGGCGCTTTTGTAACTTCTTCCAGTTGAGCCTGTAACTCGCCTGCGGAAGTAGGCGGGAGCTTAGCTTTCCAGCTAAAAGGCAAGTTTAACATCGTGAATTTCTCTTCTGGTTGCAAGGAAGGAATAATGAAATCTCCACAGTTTAAGGGGGCGGTGTCCGGTATCGTTAGTTTTCTTAAACGCTCCACTATAATATTGACGGAGGCTGACTTTATCTAGTTGATGGACAATCCTATGAGGACCAGTTTATCACTGATATGTTGCAGGCGCTTCTGCAGCGAAAACTGGTCCTGAGCAAAGATCAAGACGTCATCAGCGTAGGGGAGATAATCAATTGGCCCTACTGGGGATGTACAGGGTTCAGAGGGTAACTTGCAGAGCTTCTTCCGGCGTCATGATAAATAGTAGGGGAGAGAGAGGGTCTCCCTGTCTAACTCCACGTTCCGGATGGAGGTGAATAATGTTGAAAGATGAAGTAGCTGAGGACTAGAAGGAAGCAAGGTAATCCAGTAGCGGAGGGGGTGCGCCAAAAGCATAGGCTGCGCGTAGTAAGGACTGATGAGAGATAGAATCAAAGGCTTTGGAAATATCAACTGAAGCAAAGGAAAGTGGAGAGTATGAAGAATGAGCGTGTCGCAGTGCTGAGTGCATTATCGCAAGTGCTTCAAAGCACCCATCCTTACGTAGAAAGCCGAATTGTAGACGATCGGAAGGAAAAGTGGGGACCCAGCGGTCAAATAGGATTCGATGAAGCAGACGAGTAAAGACGGAAGTGACAGAAATAGGCCGAAATAACTCAGGAGAAGAGGGTGCATCTGCCTTGGGAACAAAAGTGATCCGTGCTGTATTCATGTGTCCAACTGAACTGAACTGATTTACTTTTTTGGAATCTATGTCCACCCATTGCACAGAACACAATCAAGAGTTTAAGTGCCGTCTAACGATCGATTAATCAGTTCCGAGCTAACCGGTTCAATTAGGTTTGGGATAAGACAAAGAAGCAGACAAAGCTTGATTTTTCTACAAAAATTGAGTTCGCCTTGAGGAAACCACACTGCCCTTTGATTTGTCGCAATACCGTATAATTTAATTGCGTTTGCCATTCTATAAGTGCTCATCTAACACTTACGAAACTGGATGTGTGAGTGTGCGTGAAAATGAAATTTTTACCATGCTAAGACTAAGTCTTTGTATAATACCTCCATAGTTTGACCATTTCTCTAGGTCAGGGATGTCCAAAGTCCGGCTTGCGGGCTAACTGCGGCCCGCGTTAACATTTCAAACGGTTCGCAGCCTTGTCATGAAATAATAAATTCAAGCTTAGATTGTTCCCTACAGACGACATTATATGGATGAGAAAAAAATTGAGAAGGTTGTGGATACAAATTCAATGGCCTCAAATGCTGGCAAAAATCAATGATGCGGCATCGTTTGTGTTGAACCAACTATGAAAAGTCTATCTGGTGCCTTTACCAAAGGGGTCTGAATAAAATCAGCAAAAATAAATGTGTTCGTTAAGTTTTTTTTATAAAAGACTAGCTAAAGCTAGCCCGTTTTAGGAATAGGATT